GGGGATGCCAATTCGAGAGATGTGATCCCTCCAACTTATAAAAATCAGAAAACTGATTTTGTGGAGTTGCTGCTCCAATCCCTGCCCTTGGGTCTCCCAGTTAATTCATGAAGACAGATGAAACAAAGTATACTCCTCACCCTTGGAACTCTGGAGGTTAGAGGAGATTATATATTGCAGATTTCAAGCTACCTGGGGAAAACAAAAAGGTGTGACTTCATCTATTTTCAGACAATAGCTTGGTGGTAATGTTCAATTCTGTCCTGCAATAGAAGAGGAGATGATCATTACTTTCTAAATAGATCACTCAAAACAGTTCGGAAGTCACTGAAAAGTGGTTTTGGGATACACTTTAGCTGCACAGAATCGGGGTCAGACCCCATATTTGATCTGGCAAAGGATCACTGGACTTGAAATGTTAACTCTGTTTCTCTCTTCACAGATGCTGCCAGTCCTGCTGAGTTTCTGCATCATTTTCTGTTTTTGTTCTTTGTTTGGAGTATGGATTGTTAGCTGTCTTGCAGGGAGGAACTGAAGATCAGTTGAGTACTTCTGTGTAGTTTGGGTACAGAAGAAGTCTTGAGCAGTCAGGAAAGTGGGATGGTCACTGGCTCTGTGTTGGGAGGAGCTGGGAAGGAGCTTGGAAGAAGCCTACAAACATTATCACCATAATAGGTGAGGGGGTAGGGAAAAACCACAACATTATTTTCTCCAAGTAAAATTAGAGCTTAGGGAAAACTCAGGGACACAGTCAGAGCGCGGTGCAGCACGGAAATAGACCCTTCAGTCCAACTCATCCATGCTAACTAGATATCCTGAAATGATCTAGTCCTATTTGCTAGCATTTGGCCCGTAGCCCTCTAAACCCTTCCTATTCATATACCCATCCAGATTCCTTTTAAATACTCTAATTGTACCAGCCTCCACGGCTCCCTCTGGCAGCTCATTCCATACACGCACCACCCTCTACATGAAAAAGTTGTCCCTTAGATCCCTTTTAAGTCTTTACCTTCATATCTTAAACCTATGCTTTCTAGTTTTGGACTCCCCTACCCTGGGAAAAGATCTTGACTTTTCACCCTACCCATGCCCCTCATGATTTGATAAACCTCTGTAAGGTCACCCCTCAGCCAGGGTAAATTCTACACTCCAGGGTAAATAGACCCAGCCTATTCAGCCTCTCCCTGTAACTCAAACCCTTCAACCCTGGCAACATCCTTGTAAATCTTTTCTGCACACTTACTAAATTTAACAACATCTTTCCTGTAACAGGGTGACCATAATTAAATGCAGTATTCCAAAAATGGCCAAATCAATGTCCTGTACAGCTGTAACATAGCATCCCAACTCAATGCACTGACCAATAAAGGAAAGCATACCATACAAGAATACCAAATGCCTTCTTCACCATCCTGTCACTATCCTGCGACTCCACTTTCAAGGAACTATGCACCTGCACCCCTAGGTCTCTTTGTTCAGCAACACTCCCCAGGACCTTGCCATTAAGTGTATAAGTCCCGCCCTGATTTGCCTTTCCAAAATAAATGATGAAAAGTAGTGGACCCAGCACCAATCCTTGCAGCACACCACTGGTCACAGGCCTCCAGTCCAAAAAGAAACCCTCTACTAATTGGATCCAATTGGCTAGCTCCCACTGGATCCCATGTGATCTAACCTGACCAACCAGTCTACCATGTGGAATCTCATTGAGCTGAAGTCCATACAGATAATTTCCATCGCTCTGTCTTCGTCCAACTTTTTTGTCATCTCTTCAAAAACCTTTTGCTGCATTTTTTGTTTAGCTGTGCTAGACAATGTTGCTGTAAGGGAGATACTTTGAGACTGACTGGCACCAAAAATATCTGTGTTAAGGAAATTTTGCCTGACAACAGCCCTCTGATTGGTTGTGCTGCTGTTTGTTACAAAACTAGACATGGGAAGCAGAAACAGCGAGAGCCTGCAAACTGAAAGCCTCTGTCGCTCTCTCTCTCTGTCCAGGTGGTGAAAAAGACAGAATAACCAAGGCAGTTTTAAAGAAAGAATTGTAACAAGACCTAGGTCCACCTGAACAATTATCGAAGTGAAGCATAACCATCGATTTGCAGACAATGCCATGTCATCAGTTCTACAAATTAAGAGGAACTGTGTGAGACAATTTACCCCCTGTGAAACTTGGTATTTGAACTTCGGAGTTTTGTTCCCTGACTATGTTGTTTGCACCCATAATGTTTGTGTCGACCCACCTGTCTTTTGTCTATCTTAATATGAATATGTGTGGTTGTGTGTGAGAGAGTGTGTGTGTATGTGTGTGAGTACATGTGTGCATGTGTGTGCGTGTGCATGTGTGTGTGAATGTGTGTGTGTGTATGTGTGTGCGCGTGTGTACATGTGTGTGTGTATGTGTATGTGTGAACACGTGCATGTGTCTGTGTGTGTATGTGTGTGTATGTGCGTGTGGGTGCATGTGTGTGCATGTGTGTGTGAGGGTGTGTGTGTGCATGTATGTGCATATGTGTGCATGCATGTGTGTGTGTGCGTGTGCACCTGTGTGCCATTGTGTGTGTGTGTAGCTGTGTGAGTGTGTGTGTGTGTAGCTGTGTGTGTGTCAGTGTAGCTGTGCGTGTGTGTGTGTAGCTGTGTGAGTGTAGCTGTGCGTGTGTGTGTGTAGCTGTGTGAGTGTAGCTGTGCGTGTGTGAGTGTAGCTGTGCATGTGTGTGTGTGTAGCTGTGTGAGTGTAGCTGTGCGTGTGTGTGTGT